TGACTGTCTTTGCAAGGATGTGTGTTTGGAGGACTTTTTGGAAAATAATTAAACCCTGGCAGCGGATCGAAGCATCGAGAGAAACATGTAATAACAAAAATGGTTTTATTATTTGGTCAATGGTTGCGTACTTGGCATGGAAGGAAGCACGGAGCACCATCGAGTGACTAATTTGGTTTTTGGCTTCGTTTATGGTGTTGTTTACCAAACCACAATTGCTTGGCACCAGAGATTGTGGCGAACCAGAAACTCTGATTTACAAGCCAGAATGCTGTCTGGGGGGTGCTTTCCCCAGCTCCATTGAACTTCAACTCCCAGAATTCTCAGTGATCAAACTGGAAGCATCACATGACACCTTCGGAGATTATCAGTGGCTCCTTCTACAGGTTTTGCGACGTCCTTTGTAGACTAGTTCAGAATTTCTGTGTCGCTAAGCGAATCACACCCAATTTCATGACCCTTTTTGCCATGGCAGGATGTGGATTACTGCTCGTTGCTAAGCAAATCGCATAGTCTTTAAGCAAGTCTGGCTCCCTCCCCTCCCCCAGTGGGATTGTGCAATGTTCATAACTGTGAGGATCAGTCATAAGTCACAATTTTCAGTGCTGTTTTTTTAACAATCTTCAAACACCGCTCTCGTGTCTTCCCCTAGGTTTTAAAGAAGTTATTGGACAGCTATTTCTTTGGAATGGCCTAGGGGGTCTCCTGCTTGAGCAGGGGGTTGGACTAGATGGCCACTAAGGTCCCTTCCCAGCCCTAGGATTTTCTATATAGGACTATCAATAGAGTTAACAAGAGTTAAATGTGCTATCCAGCACAACACTGCCCTCTGCTGGTCATCCCTGTTGAAGGAAAAGCATTGGGAATCGAACCTCCCATCGTCCTGAAATCCAAAATCAGAACATACCTGCCTTCTCTGAAGCACTCCGTGAAACGGAGCAGGATTTACCCAACTCCATAATGCATTGAACCCCACATGATCATCATTTGTGTCCTTCCCAGCCAACCTCGGGGAAGCCAAATTCGCTTAATGACTGGACGATTCACTTAATGACTGAAGCAATTCACTTAACCGTGGCCCAAAAGGCCACAAAACTTTGTGCAAAACTCAACTGCCTTGCTTATCAACGGAAATTTTGAATTCAACTGTGGCCGTAAGTCAAGGACTACCTGTATACTGTGACTAAGGGTTAGATGAGTATTAAATCCACAGAGGCTGGCAAATCGAATTATGCGCCTTTTAGCTTTGGGAACCAGTTGCGGAAACCGGTTGGTGTCACCAGTTTATGCTTCATTGTGCCACACAAACCCAAGAAAATTGGATTAATCGAGCAAGCCCTGGTTCTGTTAATCATGCATAAATATTTACAGCAAATGCAGCCAGGGAATAATTACATGAACTGTATTTAATTAGTCACATTCGTTCATGTAATGTTCATTATGCTTAATATTAAATTGAATCACACTTGGAATTTCCTCTCCTTGACCCGCCTTCTGGAGAAAATCCTAAAGAATTTTCCAAACAATCTGCATCCTTTTTTTTTTTTTTATAATGACCACTCCTACAAAGGAAATATGTAGCATTTTTTTCCCTTTTCCCAAGAATTTTACGATTCCCCAAACTCCATAACCCTGTGTTTTTCCCTCCACCAAACTTCTTATTCTAGCAACAACTTTGCCCAGATAAGTTAGGCTTAAAGTAGACAGAGGAAAAGAGAAGTGCTAAGTGGTATGGTGATTTCGTTACTGAATTTACTTACTGCAATTATTTTGTTGTTTGCCTAACCTGCCCCAAATTCTGAAGAATTTGCGGGCAGGTTAAGCAAAATTTCAAATAATGTTGGGTGTCAGGCCACAATGGTGAAAGAATAGTCCAGTCACAAGCAAATCAGAACAATGTCAACACTAAAAGCTAATCATAAAACATCCTGCATGAAGTAGGTTGAAGTCAAAGTTTTATTTTAAAAATTTAAAAATCCTAATGGCCTGTCCCAAATTTTGAACACATTCTATAAATCATCCCATTAAATTGCTACCATAGGAGGGCCAGCTTTTCCCAAACAAAAAATGACAGGAATCAAGAATTTTAGTTGCACATCTGTAAAATTACGTAAATAAAAGAAACAATACACTAAATTTTTCAACCTTGGCGTCTTTAAGATGCATGGACTTAGAATTCCCACGACTCTCCTTTTTTCCTTCTTTTTTTCGCTGAAAGTCGTGGTTCAAACCTGAGTCGCTATAGCAACTTGACAATGAGATGAGACACATTCAGTGACGCTTCCCATATCCTGAAAAATAAAACAATACCCAGTGACTAAGAGCCGAGCTAAAATGAAACGTGATCAAATGTTGCTACCTGCCAATTAAGAAGGCATTCAAGAAGAATAAATCGCTGGCAGGCCTGGTTCGATTGGCTCCTTATGTGACAACCACGACGTTGTTTGAAAGGGAGGGATGTGAGCAATAAAATATGCCATGTGGGAAGTATTAGTAAGTCTGGAACAAAACTTTCCCAAGCATAAATAGAATGGAATAGAATTCTTTATTGGCCAATTGTGATTGGACACACAAGGAATTTGTCTTTGGTGCAAATGCTCTCAGTGTACATAAAAGAAAAGATACATTCGTCAAGAGTCAAGAATCATCAGGTACAACACTTAATGATACTCATAGGGTACAATAATCAATCAAATCATACTAGGAAACACAATTTTTGGCACAGGAGCCCCATAGGGTTAGCCACCACTGACCTAGGCCATCCCAGACCAACGATTGTCCAATCTCTTCTCGAAAACATCCAGGAATGGAGCCCCCACGATTTCCAGTGGCAATGCTGTTCTAGCCATCCAAGATGGCCTAGAATCACAGAATTGGTGGCTCAGTGGACTGTTTACCCCAAATTTATTCCCCACGCATCCCCGCTTAAAAAGCATTCAAGTATGGATTTGGACCCGAGCGATCTTTGGCTCCACATCTTCCAAGCAGAGTGAAGCCAAAGGGGCCGATAACGCACGAAGGGCTTTGACGCAACCCACCCACCCCCTCATTTTTCTCTGCCCATGGCAATCGGATAATTACATTCGGAGGACAATGACAGATTGTTCGGGACTGCAGATTAATGGGAGAGGTTTGTGCAGTAAACAAAACATTGGCGTCCCCAGAGCGAGCGGTGTGAAGGGAGCCGCCGGGAGGCTGATGGCGCTGATGTGACCCAGCTCGGGGGCCATTGAGAACTGGCACAGGGATGGAGTCGCACAATTTCCAGCCGCCGTTGCATGAATTGTGCACTCACCCCTTCTCCTGCAGCTCAGGCTGAAGAATCTAGGGCAAAGCTTTGTCCGGGGTGGATTAAAGCTCTCGATCCGTAATACCTTTGTGTGCTAGACTCCGGAAAGAGATTTGGAGATAGATCTACTCTCTGGATCTGGGTAATCAGGCCAGAAGGATTACAGTGAACTCTTCCAGAACGGGACCCTCTCTATTGGGGTTATTTTCTCTCTCTTCTGGAACAGAATCACTAAAGCGACTGGACAACGGTCTGGTTCCCAAATTGGTAAGAGGGTCAGGGGTGGGTTTTTGGGGGGGTGGGGGAGGAGAGAGGGCATCACACCTTCCTTTCTGTACTTCCATCACAACATCACACACTTTGGATCCTGGTGGGCAGGCCTGCAAAATGTGTCCAACTTCGGTTTGCTCAGCTGTAGTTCATTGAATAATTCATGATAGTTATTATGCTTGGATTACATTTCCCGCCTCCTCCCACCCCTCCCAAAAAAGGCATATCGTAAATTGGTCTCAGCTTAATGCACCACAAGTATTCCATCAAGCATGCTTATAAAACCTAGTTTATGGCTTGGAACGTTGTGGAACCTAGCCAATTGTAGCTTATTTCATTTCTGGTGATATTTACAAAAGCTTGGCTTCCTTGCAGCAGATGAAACCAAGTTCTTAAAGCACGTTGGCTAGGGAATTCTGGGAGTTGAAATACATATCTTAAAGCTTGCAGACTGAAGAATTCTGGGAGAGGAAGTCTACATATCTTAAAGCATGCTGGCTGAGGAATTCTGGGAGTTGAAATCTGGACATCTTAAAGCATGCTGGCTGAAGAATTCTGGGAGTTGAAGTCTACATATCTTAAAGCATGCTGG